GTGGTGCTGAAAACATAAAATTAGTGACAACCATCTAAAACATCAAGTTTAGATCAAGTTAAAACTATAAGATAATTCTAAAGGATTTTAATTCTTATTTTTTCTTAGCTAAGAGTTAAAAATGACTTTATTTATTAGCTGAAAATATTTGGAAAAATATGCCTTGAGGAACAGATGCTATCCAGTTCAGGCAAACAGTGATGACCAATTGAGCTACTCACGTTTTAGCAAAAATATAAAAAGAAAGCTGATTTTTAAATTGTGACTACTTTTAAAATTCTGAGAAAATAAAGTAATTCAGAAATTGGTAACTAGAGACAATCGATTCAAAAGTTTCCATTTTAAGTGATTAGACTGTTTTCAGTTTTTTTAATGAAATTATGATTATGAAATATGGGTATTTGGTTTTTCCAAAGCATGGTACTAAGGAACTTAATCTCTCATAGGAATAATCTGTAAACTCTTAATTGTTCAGATTCTATTCATACATTAGCATATAGCAGCATGCCCTTTAAAAAGAATTATGATACCTCTATGTGTAGGGTTGCCAGATAAAATACAGGATGCCTAGTTAAATTTGAATTTCAGATAGACAACAAGTAATATTTAGTATAATTAAATATTACATGTATGTACTTAAGTCAAAAAAGTATTCATTGTTTATCTGAAATTCAAATTTGAGTGGGTATGCTGTATTTTTATTTATGAAACCTGACAATCCTATTTATACATCTCAGTTTTCTAATAAAGGTAATGGATGGTTTCAGCAAACAACTTCCCAATGTTTCTCAGTTAACATGGTATGATATGCATCTGTTACAGTAAGACTTTTTTTTATAGAGTACAATCAAACCTTGCAACATAAAATATCACACTAATTTCTCACTGTCCAGAAAAGTGAATTGCTAGCTTGCTGGCAAAGAAACTAAAAATTACAAATTTTTTTTTTCCAAATTTTCCTTCAAATGTGGGATTACGGATTCCTGTAAATAAAGCTATGAAAATTGTAAAATGGCTAACTACATCGAATTGACTTGACTTTGAAGTTTAAAGACATGTTAATATGGAAATAACTAGGTGATTTATTGTTTTTTGCTAGTAAATTTCAACGGAAACACAGAACTCACAAATAGAAGAACTGGATTCCAAAACTACCCTTAACATGTTCCACCAACTTGTTAAATTCTTTAACTTCCTCTAACAATGCTAAAAAAAAAAAAAGTGAGAAATTTCAGAAAGAATTGGAAGGAAACTCTTGGGTGTTAAAATAGTGTTAGCAATAGATAAGCTTTTTCTATAGCATTGACAGACTGCAAATTTTATAACCTGCTTAAGAATCATGCCTGGAACTATGAGGCAATTCTTAATCCAAATCAAAATATATAAAGAGGAAAGTAGCCTTACACTTGCCAGATGTAAAACCATGTTTTAGTAACGTTACAAATAAAAGGTCACCAATTGTTGTGAACAGTTTCTAAGCAGTCAGGGAATTCAGAAGTTAAAGCCAATATTGTTGTGCTGTAGTCCCCTTTATCCAAAGGAGATACATTCCATGACCCTGAGTGAATGCCCGAAACCGAAGATAAAACCAATCTCTACTTATGAGGCCTGTCTGAAAAGTATCCAGCCATGTACTATGAAAAATAGAGACATTTATTGAAGAAGATACAAGAAACATTGTACATAGAACAATGATATCTCTGTCTCCTTCAAAGTAGGCACCTTGGGACCTTACACAGTTTTCCAGTCGTCATCAGCTGCTCTTGATATTTTCCTGAATCTCACTGATAGTCTGAACTCTCTTCCCTTTCAAAGGTGATTTTGGTTTCGGGAAAAGCCAGAAGTTGCAGGGTGCCAAATCTGGGCTGTAGAGGGGCTGAGTCACCTGGGTGATTTTATGTTCTGCCAAAAATCTCTGCAGGAGAGGAGCTGCATCAGTAGGTGCATTGTCCTGATGAATCACCAGTTGCCCATAGCTGTGGCCTTCTGAATCATCTGAATAGTTTCCATGGAGGAATGTTCAAACTTAACACAAAATTGGATACAGATTCCAATTGCTCTACTTGCTCAGTCATTTTGAATGCGATGGCCACACAGTACACATGATCACTCAACAGTGTCTACCACCCCGACTGACTAGTACGGTGAAGTCATCCTTGTTCAGACATGTGCATTCCAGTCCACTCTCCTTGGCCGCCAGGTTACATGGATGTTACGCAAACCATTCTCTTACATTAACAATGGCTGGATTTTTTTCTGGACACACTTCGTATATTGTTTTTTTTCCTATATGCACATGCCTTCCCATTTAAAGAAAGCACTTTACCGCTCTCTTTTCACATATCAGAATTTCCAGCGTCATTATTCATTTATAGACCTTTAAGACATTTTACTCTTACGCTTTGGGGACTTTATTAAGTAAAAAAAGTGTTAACCTGAACACAAGCACTGCCATACTGCGACAGTCTGAGAACCCTAGATGGCTGTTCTGTGGCATATACAGCGTGGAAATGCTAGACAAAAGGGTGACTCATGCCAGGGGCGGGCGGGGGCTGGATGCCCCAGATTTCATCGTGCTCCTCATAATGGGGCTTAATTTAAAACTTGGGAATTGTTTATTTCTGGGATTTTTCCATCTAATATTTTCTGGCTGCAGTTGGCCGTGGATACATGGAACTGCAGAAATAAAACCACTGAAAAGCGTGGGGACTACTGTGTACCTAAGGTCGGCTATGTAAGGCTGCACAAAAGCTACTCCGATACTGCAGTGACTTAATTCAACACAAATTTATTTCTTGCTTATGCAGATTCTGTTTTAGATCCCAGGCAGCTGGGCAGGGTAATAATTTAGCATTCCAGGATTCTTCAGTCCTATGCCACCTTCTTTTTAATATGTACTTCCATGATTGTAGCAGCAAAGGAAGAGAACAGATGAGGAAAAGAAGCCCTGCCCTTAAGTGGTTCCACTAGGAAAGGAGACATTTCATGTCCGCTCATATTTATCTACAAAAGCAAGTTACATCACTTTACCTAATTTCAGGGGGTAGAGAATGTAACCCTACCCTAGGCCTAAAACCAGAATAGGAAAATTGGTGAGCACTGAAAATGCCTTCAGTAGTACAAAATGTTATGAAAGTGTATTGTTTCAGATTAGACTAATGAGGCATTAATGTTACTAGCATGTCATAAATTAAGGTTGGAACTAATTCAAGTTTAATCTTGATCTTGTGATTCAAAGTTACAGACTTTTAAGTAGTTTCACTGTTACTCAATATTTGCATTATTGTCTGTGCAAGCAACTAGTCATTTAGCATCATAATAGGTTCAGAAAATTGTTTAACTTGAGTTGTTTAAAGACTAAATGCCAGATGCATTTAAATGAATTGACTGGATTAATATCGATATTAGGTAAAATATTAAAACACAGCTTTTTTGATATGGTTTCAATATCGTAATCAAAACAAGCCACACTTTTTTCATATGTAAGGATACACTGAAAGATAAATATTATCCATGAGAAGGAATAATTACTAATAACTGCAATAATGGACAAATGGTATATTGCTAGGTATTTAATATGCTACTTAGTTTTGACATGTTTTGGTTGCTACAATAATGAATAAGTAACTAAAGAAGCATTTAAAATTAAATATTAATTAATTTTTTACTACATATTAAATGTTATCCTATCGATGGGTTAACACAGATTTGTTACTTGATGCTAACGCCACATTAGAGGTCTCCTATAGGATAGTCTTTCACCTAACATCTTTACAACAATTTGTTTAAATGATTTTTATTTTTAAACTATAGTTTAAAGTTAACTTCTTAATTTCATGCTATTTTTTTGAAAGCAAGCTTTTGGACCCATCAAAATTGGCTTGTACCTTACAACAATTGACACTTATGATAATATGAAGATACGCAAATATACCTGTTTGTCAGGTGTGAAGAATCATCTACAGAACATGCACGTGGGGACTAAAACTTACAAACAAGCATGCAGCTGTGTTTGTGGTCCCTGTATTCCTTACTTTCAAGAGGTGGATAGGATTTGTCATTCGATTCTTAATTTATAGATTGTCCTTAGACATATTTATTGCCCAGTTCGTGTCACAGCTGTTACAGGCGAAAAGAAAGTGAGAAAGCAAGATGCCTCTGAAGACAGGGCAAGCTTAAACCTGCCATCGATTAAATAGATCACAGTGTCACAGGTACACTTTTAACAGAATTGCAATCTTAGAGGTCAGGTTGGGAAGGAAAAAAAAAACCCACTCTGGACAGGGCAGATCAGGGCGTAGGGAGGGCGAGCTGCAGGCCCCGTTCTGCGAGTTTCTCCCAGCAGCGCGGCAGCAGCTGGGATCCTCCCATAGGGTCTTCGCACGGCCCTCTAAGGGCAGGTAACCTCACTTCCTCCCTACCTGTCCGGCTAGGGCGCGCGGAGCTTTCCGAGGCGACGCCCTAGTGGTGGGAATGGGAACATTCTGCCTGGAAGCTTCCTTTCCGTTTGGCTTCCCCAGCCGGACCCCAAAGACCCGAAAGCCCAGGGAGAAGGAAGTTGCAACTCTGTCCCCGTCCACCCCCGCCCTGTTTCTCTCTCCGGCTCGCTGCCCCTCTCGCTCCGATGCCACCGAGCCTCGTCGCCACTTCTGGGCGGCCGACCGGCGGAGGTGGCTGCGAGCTCCCGAACTCTGGGCAGGGAAATGGGGCAGGGTGAGTGAGCCGGTTTGGGAAGAGGCCCCGCAGCGCCCAGCAAGCGCCCGGCACCCCGCCCGCGGAGCTGGGGGAGGCGCTGCCTCGGCTCGGCCCGGCCCGCTCTGGGCAGAGCCTCGGCGAGGCTGCGGCTTTCTCCTCCCTTCAAGTCCTGGCTTGAGAGTCGAACTGCGAGCGCTCGGCCCGTGGGAGGGAAGAGTGGGGAAGAAAACCGCGGGGGAGAACCGGCGAGCCACTGTCTCCTTTTGAAAAGAAAGTAGGAGCCCTGGGTGGGAAAAGAGAAACGCGCCCTCCCAACTTTTATACAAGTTTTCCCTGGGCGTTTTGTTTGTCCGCCCGAGGGTGCGCTGCAGGCGTGGCGGCCGAGCCTGTGCGCCTCGTCCCTAGCCCCACTCCTCCTCCTTCCAGCCGGGGCAGCGCCTCTCCCTTTCTGAGAGGCGCCAAATGGCTACCTAGTCAACCACACGGGGCGGGGGCTGCAGCGCCTTCAACTGCCGCGGCAGCTCCCGGCGCCCGCGGGCTGGGAGCGGGGACCCGCAGGTGGAAGCGCACTCCGGAGGCGGGCCGGCCCGGGGTTTGGGTGGCTCCGGCGGTCTCCTGACTCGCGGCCAGCCCCGCTCAGGCCTCGGGAAGGCGCGCGTTCCGCCCTGACCGGCTGGCCTCTCCCACTCCAGCAGTGACGCGCCGCCTGGGAGCGGGAGCCCGCGCAGCGATCCGCAGGGTGATGGACGGCCGAGCCCCGAGCACGCAGGACGCCCAGGCGATGCAGACACCCCCCGTCGCCCCAGCTGGGTAAGCCTCGAGTGCCGCGCCGCCGCTCACCGGGGAGGGCAAGGGCAGCGGGGCCTCTACGCGTTCACCTGGATAGCGACTGGCTGCTCTGCGAGCGGCCTTAACTGGCTAACCCAACATGCGGCCGAGGAGGCCGCCCGGGGTTGGAGATCTGATAGTTTTTCATTGCTTTCCTACTTGGGCTGCTCTGAGTTGCTGACGAGCAGCTGAATGCTGCCAGGAGTTGGGTGAGGAGTGCGGGAGCAAAAATTGTAACAAAGGGCCCCTTGTTGGGGCTCTGGAAGAGCGGTGGACGATACCTGTAAATGAGCTCCTAGGAAGGGAAAAAAAGTTTCCTTGGACGCGAGCTGAGGCCCGGGCAGGTGAGCAATGTCAAGGTGACTCAGAAAGGGGCTTTCTGCGAGCTGTTGGAGGGCGACGGGAGGGTGTGCCAGCTGTCAGCTCGCTTGACAGTTCCGGGACCGGGCGGGGTGCGCGCCTCCGATTGGGGGTGTGTGTGCCTGCGACCAATTGCTGGTGCCAAAGACTAGCGCGAAGTCAGACTGCAAACAACCATACTTTTCTTTGTATCCACGTGTTTGAGGAGAGATTGGAGGTGAAGGGGCTGTCACATGGTGAGTTAATATTAAATGAAGCATGTCTTCCTGCCAGATATGCTAATATCACCTTGCTAAGCGTTTGGATAAACAGTGCTGAGAACAGGTAGTTCTGCAAGAGATGGGGAGAATCTGAAAATATCCTTCGCCTTGGTAAATAGTGAAGGATTAACAAGGGTGCTTGTTGGGTTTCTGAAGTGGGAAACCCCTCTAATGTAGGATAACTTTTTCCTATATTGTTCCCCCGACTCAGTTTCTTATCTGATAAGTGAGCGCAGAAATGCCCTAAATAGAATATCAACATTCCAGAAAAGAATCATTAAGGAAAAAGTCGAGTTTGTAACCAATGAATGAGAGTTGTACAGTTTTCCTAATTTAGGAGTAGAGAAGTCATTTTTCTCTGGACCATGACAGGCGTTTCCTTAGAAGCAAGTCACAGCATGTTTATTCATCAGAGACCATGCGAACATTGGCAGTTGTCTAGAGGAAGCATGGAAAAGTCTCAAAGCAACATGACTAATATAAAATATATTTAGTATAATGCTTACGTGGTGTATGAATTAATTCTTTCATTTTGTTCCAAATAGTTATCTTCTCCCCTTTGCAAGTAGCTGTATTACTGTTGACTTCTGTTCCTGTTCTTTCCCCAGTTTTTTCATTGTTTAGACATCATATATTCTTCCATATAGTGTCACATTAAGATGCATGAGTAAAGGACTACATGGGTAGAAAGATATTAATCATAATAGCATGAGCCTCAATGGAGCTGCAAAATTATGTAAATGGAAGATTAGACAACTTTCAGGAATACTGGTATGTAATAAGGCATCACAAAATAAGATAGAATTGGTGGATTTGAAAATGGATTAGGTTTAAGTACTTTTAAAAAAAAACCCTAACATATGCACATACACAAAATATATTTATGGGTGTTCAGAAATCAATCAGTACTTTTGAGTAAAACAGGTGAGATCAGACGGCTCTGAGATGAAGGAATGATAAGTTTTCTAGTGATAATCATGACTATAGTTAAGTTACTTAAGTTTACTTTTGAGGATTTAAAGGTTTAACTAATGAGTTATTGTTTCAAAAATTAGAAAACTGTTTTATCTAATTTCTCAAATATGAAGAAAATACTTTTAAGGAATTATGCCCTCTCCAAATTTAAGGAGGAACACCTGGAATAATGCTGCAATATCGTATCTAAAAGCACCCCACTGTATCATTTTACCTACATTATTTTATTTAGGGAAGTTATCAGTATCTAAAAGTATAAACAAAAAATTACTTCTATATTTTATCTGTCTTGCACTTATCTGTCCTCTCTCTAGGAATATCCCAAGTGCCTATTACATACTATTTATTGAATGTTTAGTATTCAGTACTGCTTTTGTAATTTTTCTAAAAAACTCAAGACATTTAAAAGGTCTTTAATTGTGAAAAATATCCTAGAAATAGGTATTTGGGAGGTGGCAGGGAGCAATCTCAGTCGATATGCTATAATAAATTGTTAGGTTTGGGAAGTAAACTCCTTACTATAAAACTACTTAAGTCATGACTCATTACTCTAATAGCTTACGAGAACTAGTTTAATCCTTAATCTTGTATATTGCCTCTGTATAAAACTTCTCTGTAATTTTACAGGTCTTACATTGTTGTAACAAATCATTTTAAAGAAATTTAGTGCAACTCCATATTTTATAAGTGACAATCTGAAGTCCAGAGACACTGAGTGACTTTGCTGAAGTCCCATAGCAAATTAGTGGAAAAACCTGAAGGAAAATTTAGGACTAGTTGTTTAGTTCATTGCATTAATTGTTTTAAACCTTTTTCTAACCACTATATGATACATTTAAATTTCACACAGTCATCTTGGGTACCTTAGCTTTAGAGCTATTTGTGCTTGCGTATTTTACTTGCCTGTATAGATATACTTAAAAAAAAAACAAACACCTCTTTAAAATTTAAATGTCAACAGTGTAGATGACCTTGCTTTGAGGAACATTCATGTTTTGATTCTGAAACAATTTTCAGGAATGATCGGGGGGAATAAGCCTATTACTTTATAATTTTGCAGCTTTGGACCTAGGGACTTAATTGAAGGTGGTATAAAAATTAACGAATGATTTAGCAGCTGCTTTTTTAAGCGTTTATGTGGATATGTTATGGGCTCTAAAATTCATTGATTATATAAACTGAGTTCTTTAGCTAACATTTATTTCCTACTTAGAAGTTGATTGCCTTAGCTGAAGTTTCAACAGGAGAATTAGCTGGGGAATCTTAATACTAGTACTCATGCTCTCACAACTCTACGTATCCGGATTTTACCTGGTCTGGGACAATGGCATGGAGTTTTTATTTTTTTATATTTTATTTTTTAATTATATTTTATTGATTATGTTATTACAATCGTCCCAATTCACCCCCTCTTCTGCCTCTCCACCCAACGCTTCCCCTACTCACTCAGGCAATCAATCCCCAACCGTGGTCCATGTCCATGATCATGCATGTAAGTTCTTTGGCTACTCTATTCCCAATGCTGTACTTTACATCCCCATGACTATTGTGTCACTACCAGTTTGTACTTCTCAATCCCTTCACCCCTTTTGCCCACTTCCCCAATCCCCCTCCCATCTGGTAACCATCAAAATGCTCTTTGTATCTATGATTCTGCTTCTGTTCTGCTTGTTTGTTTATTTTGTTTTTTAGATTCAGTTGCTGATAGATATATATTTGTTGCCATTTTATTGCTCATATTTTAGATCTTCTTAAAGAAGACCCTTTAACCTTTCATATCATGCTGGTTTGATGGTGATGAACTCCTTTAGCTTTATCTTGTCTGGGAAGATCTTTATTTGTCCTTTGATTCTAAATGATACCTTTACTGAGTAGAGCAATCTTGGTTGCAGGTCCCTGCTTCTCGTCACTTTGAATATTTCTTGCCAGTCCCTCTTAGCTCCAAAGTTTCTTTGGGAAATCAGCTGACAGTCTTATGGGGGCTGCCTTGTAGGTAACTAACTGCTTTTTCCTTGCTGCTTTTAAGAGCCTCTCTTTGTTTTTTAAACTTTGGCATTTTACTTATAATGTGTCTTGGAGTGGGCCTCTTTGAGTTCATCTTGTTTGGGATTTTCTGTGCTTCCTGGACTTGTGTGTCTATTTCCTTCACCAAGTTAGGGAAGTTTTCTTTCATTATTTTTTCAAATAGGTTTCTAATTTCTTGCTCTCTCTCTTCTCCCTCTGGCACCCCTATGATGCCAGTGTTGGTATGCTTGAAGTTGTTCCAGAGGCCCCTTACAGTGTCCTCATTTTTATGGGTTCTTTTTTCTTCTTTTTCTGATTGGTTGTATTTGCTTCCTTATATTCCAAATCACTGATCTTATTTTTCACTTCATCCATTCTACAGTTGATTCCCTGTAAGTTGTTCTTTATTTCAATTAGTGTATCCTTGGTTGCTGACTGGATCTTTTTTATGCTGTGGAGGTCCTCACTAAGTTCCTTGAGCATCCTTACAACCAGTGTTTTGAACTTTGCATCTGATAGATTGGTTACCTCCATTTTATTTAGTTTATTTTCTGGAGATTTGTTCTGTTCATTCATTTGGGCCATGTTTCTTTGTCTCAGTTTGGCAGACATATTAGGTAAAGCTGCTACCTTTCCCAGGCTTGGTAGAGTGGTCTAATGCAGTAGGTATCCTGAAAGGTCCAATGGCACAGCCTCCCCTATTACCCAATCTGGTATTTGAGGTGTGTCCACTGTGTGGGTTCTGTACACCATCCTCTTGTAGTTGAGCCTTGATTGCTGTTGACACATCCAAGGTCAGCCACCACCTGTGTTCTGTCTGGGGTCACATAGCATAAGCTACAAAGCATTCTGCAGATGGCTGCTGCTTGTGTTACTCTTGGAGGTGCCCAGGAGAAGCCAGACTGTGAACTAAGACTGGCTGCTGCTAGTGCCAGGCCTGGGGCAACTTAGCGAGAGGTATGGGGCTTGCTGAAGCCAGATGCTGCTTGTTTGAGAGAATTTAGGAAAAGTCTGGAGCATGGGCCAAGACAACCCATTCATATGGAAAAGCCACTGGAAGCAGCTTGGGTAGGTCTCAAAGTTGGGTGGCATGGGGCTCAGGGAATCACCAGGGTAGGGTGAACAGTGTGATCCAGGTTGATGGAGTCTCAGATATGGCACCTGCCTGCTGGCTCAGTTTGAGGAGGGCTCAGGAAAGGAACAGTGCCAGCAATTCTGTCTGGGAGAAAGCTGCTCCCCAGATCTCACCCTGATGTCAGACAGTCAGTTTCTCCGTGTATGTCTCTGGTGCCTTCCAAGCTGCTGGCCCCACACTGGATCTCAGAGGGAGTGAGTTTGTGTACATCTGTGTGTGGGCCCTTTAAGACGAACTCCCTGGGATTC